GCGGTCCAGAGACGGTCGTCCACAAGAGGTCATCTACAGCACGTGTTTTCGTCACCGACCTGCGAGCACTGGGTTAACCCTATCCTGCCGGAGGTTTGGTTCGGTTGAACCTGAACCTCGCAAATGTGGCTCGGATTAATTCGAGACGGGGACCGGCGGATGGACCCCACGGTCTGTTGACGCCCATCCAGCCATCCAAGCTTCCGTTATTCCCCAGCTGTCGTTGGGTCCAACCGAATTTCGCACGGTGTGTCTTCGTCCTTGAGTGTTTAAGTCGGGTGTGGCTCGGATTCATCCGATTTCGACAGAAGCTGTCCCGACACGTGCGACCACGACAGGCTGCGCCGACACCGTGTGTTTTTGACGTACAAGTTTATCAGACCGTGCGACGTCGTCAATACCCTCTGCGCATGTGGTTCGGATTAATCCGACTTCGCCGAGGCGCTTCGCTTTGTTGTCGCCCCACCACATACCGGACCTCCCCGCGATTGCCGTAGTGTGTCATTATAATCTGTGCGTCATCACGGGGGATATCGTCGTCGTCGTGAGTTTTAGTTGGTTGTTGCTCGCCCAATCCAAACAACAGACACGTTTGCTGTAGTCGCAGCACAAGTTTCTAGCTCGTCTTTCTTCCACCGAGCGTAACCATCTCGACTCGTTTGAGTTGCATGAATCCGAGGCATCGTTGACCCTCGTCATCAGACTGCCCTTCTTAGAGCAAATGGTCGAAGACGAAGACAGCGTGGTAGTTCGGACACATCCGAACTTGCCAGAGTCGAAGACCGACGTTGTGACTCGGATGCATCCGAATTATGTCGACCACTACAGGAGGACATCGGCACGGCGTGTTTTCCTCAATGACCTGTGAGCAGAGGGTGGACCCTATCCTGTTGGAGTTGTGGTTCGGATTTATCCAAGACAGAACGGTCTTTTGACAGCGTGTGACTTCATCATTCACGTTTATCGGAACGTTCGGCATCGTAAATACCGTCTGTGCATGTGACAAATCCGAATATGCCGTCAGTGTGGTTCGGATTAATCCGAACTTCGCCGGGTTGCCTCGGTTAGTGGTCGCCCCGTGAGTTTTAGTGGGTTATGACTTGGATGCAACTGATATCAACAAGGGTGGCCCAGTTGTTGCGCCACCACAAGATGGTATGGACAGGGTGGGCTGTCGTCCTCCTGGTTGGTCAAACATGTCGCCGTCGACAATACCCTATGAGCATCTGATCACTCTCTGTCCTGTCCTGTGTCCAAGTCAGCGGAAGGGTTCCTCGCGGCGTTCGGCTGATGCGAGGTTTGATAGGGTTTAAAGATTTGAATTCACGTTCGCCTCCTGTGTCTTCGAATCTGTCGTAGCCGTCTTCGAATTACTGATCTGTGATTGCACTCAGGGGGGGACCAACCTGAGATCGGTTGAGCGACTGTCTTCGATACACAAGGATTGGAGAAAGGCAGAAAACCCGCATAGACACGGAAGGGAGACTAAGATCGATAGAGATGTCGACAAGGAGAGGATGCGCAGCGAGAGAGCCTGTCTTTAGCTCTCTGTCTCTCCATGTGCAGATCCTGCGGATGGTGTTGTCCATTTCGGAATTCGCAATGTGACCCGTTAATAAAACGGCACAAAAGAAATTTAAGAAAAAATTCTTCGTGTCGGCGAGAGGAAGATTGGCGAAAAATGTGAAAAAATATGGAGGACACTCATCTCGCTCGAAACTCCTTCATCTCTCCCCGATCAGATGGCACACTCACACGTCCGCATGTCATGTCCTGAACATGCGTGGCCACGCTGATGGGCGCGGGGCTATATTGGAGCCTCGCATCCATTCTGCTGCAGCATAGAGCCCCTTTGTCGCATAGAGCCCCGCATCCATCAGCGTGGCCACGCTTGTTCAGGACGTGACACGTGGACGTCTGAGTGTGCCATCTAACCGGTGCGAGTGATCGCCAATGAAACGCACGCATTCTTGCTCCGGAAACTCCTTCATCTCGCCCCGATCAGATGGCACACTCACACGTCCGCATGTCATGTCCTCAACATGCGTGGCCACGCTGATGGGTGCGGGGCTATATTGGAGCCTGGCATCCATTCTGCTGCCGCATAGAGCCTCGCATCCATCAGCGTGCACACGCTTGTTCAGGAACTGATACGTGGACGTTTGAGTGTGCCATCTGATCGGGGCGAGTGGTTGCCAATGGAACGAGATCCGCAAACGCACCCCGAGGTAAGTTCGCAAAAGAAACAGGCTAACGGATAAGACGAACGAAATAGAGGCGCTGAAGACAAACTAACGACGGGGACGAAGATGGTAGTTGAACACGACGGCACACACGTCCACGTGACAAGTCGTGAGCATGTGTGGCGACGCTGATGGGTGCGGGGCTCTATTCGACAACATTCTGTTGCCGCATAGAGCCCCGCATCGATCAGCGAGCTCACGCTTGTTCAGGACCTGCCATGTGGGCGTGCGAGTGTGCCATCTGATCGGGGCGAGTGGTCGCAATGGAACTAGATTCGCGAAAGCAGGCCGACGAAAAAGACGAACGACATAGAGGCACTGATAGAAAACTGACGAGGATGGTGGTGGAACATGACGCTGTTGGTTTTGTCTCGTTCGTTTGTCTGCGCTTGTTAGTTACGTTCGCAAACTTTGTGCGAACGACATAGACAAGCGCAGTGAAACGAATGAGATAAAACAGAGAAAGAGAGATAAAGAGATAGCGAGATAGAGAGAGCGTGACAGAGAGGCGATCTCCGCCTTCATCACACGGCCCAATCAAACGTCACGATCAAATGGCCCCGAACGTCATAGACTCCCTATCACACATCGGACTCACGGAGAGAAATCCCTGTTGGATCACACGACACTGCTCGTTCGCGGCGACTGAACCCAATGTAATAGCCACCGCGCAAATCCCGACTACACATCGCGTACATGTGTGGGCATTCAGACGGTCTACGCAAACCCAGCATGGCAGGACTTTTCAGGTAGGTGGAGATGGCGAGAGAAAGAGAGACAGAGCGAGAGAGCGAGAGAGGGAGAGAGACAGAGAAAGAGAGAGAGCGAGAGAGAGAGAGAGAGAGAGAGAGAGAGAGAGAGAGAG